GAGTCGGAAAGGTCGTCTCGCCAAGGACCCGTTCAATCTTTGCCAGAGTTTCCTGAAGACTTTGACAACGGTCACAAAGATCAGTGTGTTGGTGACTGCATTGTTGCTGGTAATCTGCATCGCTACTGTCGCTAAGAGCAAACAAAACACAATGGTCTGCTACGTTAGAGGGGCTTGTGACATGAACCTGTTGATAAAACAAAACTGAGATTACTGTTTGTCTGTGCTTATACTTCAATACAATAGTTAATCAAATGATTTTTTAATCTAACATATATTATTAACGTAAGGGGACGAATAACTTTTAACCTTAACCTTAGAAAAAAAAAACTATCCTCGTGCGCGCATTGTTAATCTCGAGAATTTATGTAAGCTAGTTACACGTGCACCATTTAGTGAAGAAAAAGAGTACAAAATAAATATTTTTTTTACGGAATGATTTTGTTGACGAGGTAAAATAAGTACTTACTTTTAGTTTTATTCAAGCTGTCTTTCTGGAGTCAGAATCCACATTACCTTATAGTCCCCCTTCAAATACTGCTTGCTTGTCATAAGAGCTTGCACAACTGTAGTCTCCCACTCCTTGCCGGAACCTAATCCCCCTATTTGGCGTACGAGGGCCACGAGATCATCAAATGCGCGAGCACCTTCAGCTGCAAAATAATCTAAGCCCTGCAGTGATTTTCTTACAGAGGCACTGCACTCAAAGAGTACCCGTCTCATAGTAGTTTCGCTGAATGGTTTGAAGTTGATCACCAAACAGTACTGAGTGTACTGTTGTATCACTCGCTCGGGTATCATCATACGGAATACGTTAGGTACTTGAATAACCTCACCAGATGAAAGCTTGAGATGTTTTTGCCCAAATGGAAGGTCCTGAACAAGATGCGGGCTCATGATGAAACCAAGAAAGTGGTCAAGCTGCCTCAAGTCTACTCGTATTCGTGTGGTAGGCTGTTGTGGAACTTGAGCGCCTCGGCCAAACTGTGAGCGATGAAGATTAGCCATGGAGTATCGGTATCTTGTCAACCCCGGGATATAACGGGAAATGTCGTTGAAAGTTCCAACCCCTGCCATAATCGAAAGCACTTGTCTACGGGTATCCCAGCTGGTTGCATTCTGGTACGCTTCTGCTAGGGCCTCTAAATACAAATGCTCTGAATGTGACAACTCGCTTACACCTAGGGCCTTGTTCATAGCCGTAGAAGAGGCTAAACGTCGCCAGAGTTCACCAGCATTATCAGGGGTGACGCTCTTTAGCACAGTTGCTACTATTTCTGTGGCTCTCCTTGTTTGACGTTGTCTTGTTCGCTCAGAGGAATCACTCCAAGAAAGCCATGGCTTTCCAAGCGGTTCAAGTTTGCATGCTGCCAGGAACTCACTCAGCTTTTCGCGCGCCTCATGCAAGATCACAGGTGTGGGCTCGTCACTCTGAGTGGAAGCTGTGCTTATTGTGTCTGGTGACAGAAAGGTGTCATCAGCGTTTGTTAGACGTCCAAGGCTTTCTGCGAACTCTTCAACAGATTGACCGGTATCACTTTGTCCTGGAGATGAGTTTGAGCTATTCTGTAACATACAAAAAAGACGTTTAGACATCAATGTTACTTCAATATTTCTGTTTATTTTGTCACTAGGCATTAGTTTTTTTTATTATAGTTGGAAACTTAAGTTATACATCATTTAAAAAAAAAGAAAATATGAATTTACATGCATACCGCTATCATTATCAATACTCCCGCTCCAGCCAGACCGAAAGGAATTTAAAGAAACGAACAGTGACCTATTCGTCTTAAAATCATTTTCAGAGTCATTTTCAAAGTTTACAGTTATTCACAGTCACCCAGCCCTTTCGGAATTTTGGCATTTGCTATGTTGGAATAACTGTCTGTATCCAAGGTTACCGTTTACTTACTTACATTTGCTTCTTAAGTCTCTAGTTCTACGCATGGAGTAACTTCAATCATTGGTGCGGGTGTCACTTTCTGTTGTTGGTTTGTCTCCGCGAAATGTTGCTTGCACATTCTGCAAAGAGCTGTAGCAAAAATAAATGTTGACCTTGTTAAAAGGCCATCGCCGATTTCTTTACTATTCTTCAAAGCCATTTTCTTCTTTGGGGGGGAGGGGAACAGGAGAATAAAGGGTATTGTAACGCTTGCGCATATGTTGCTTTACGCCCTCGCTCGTTTAAAATTAAAGCGTATACTTTAGCTACAAATGTGTTACGATAAACTTACGCGATCCAACTTGAATAAGTATTCCTTCAGTGTTTAAAATAAATGCAGATAGAACGCTGTCCAAATGCCGATCGCCTTTGACCGAGGCTGTTTTGTGAGCAGTTATTTCTAGTGGAATGCTACACTTCACTTTTGAGGATCTCCAGCGCATACCAAATTCCGCTCTGTGGCGAGGGCATATTGTCAATGACAAGAGGGACTCTTCCACTGCAAATACCCCTAAACAAAGGTAAAGGGAAAATTATCCATTGCATACATCACGAGCGATTTGAGAGGCTCGTGTGCTAGGAGATCTCGAGGTCCCCTTTTTCATAAAAAAGTCTTTAAAGTCTGTGTATCAGTGACAGGTGTGTGTGCGTGGGTGGCGGAGCGGGGGGGGGGGGGGTGAATAAAGATCTTTTTTGCTATCGTAAGCGTTAATATTAGGTTTGCAAAATATTAACGCCGCGGTAAAAAGCCTGCGATTTTTATAGAGATGAACTCGTTTGCTTATCGTTCTTGCAAGCCGGATACAAAAGAGCGGTACGCAAGTACTGGGGACTATAATTTTGTCAAATGAAAGGGGACATTTCGGTTCGACCGACCGAAATAACCTGACCGGTCAAAGTGGACCAGCTTCAAAGGCGTTCCCAAATATTCTGGTAGGACCGAACCGAAATGGTCCATTCCATTTGATTTCTAACCGAATTTTTCTTAGAATAACATGACCATCGTGAGGTCTGTGATAAAGAGATGATGGAAATATACACCACTATTAGCCGCTACGTAAGACGGTAAGACAGTACATAAGATTTACCTGCTCTCACTAATAGCAGTTTCCATTCAGTGTCAAGTGCTGTATCTGCTTTTAATCCATACAGCTCGCAGTGCCTCGAAATGTCCCTCGTACAATTTCTTAAAGCGAGAACTTCAACTTGGCTTGGATAATCGCTGCTTAAACCACAGGGTGTGGCGTCGTGTAATAAACCAGAAAAAACTACATGAGTGAAACGTTGCCGAAGCCATGACAAAAAACAAAGCTCTCCCAACAAACGAGACAAACTCCACTAACGCTGTTTCGGTATTCGTAATACTAGACGGGAATAATTCAATTAAAAATAATATCGTAGAGGCACGTGCAATAGTAAGTGGCGAAACAGTTCGTGACAATATATAAATTTTATTCCAGGAGTATTTGACCTGGAAATGTTTTATTAATATTGTTCCTAGAGTCGAATATTTCTACACTGATGATCTATAAACAGACGTATGGTTGTACATTTTTTCATTGGGACAGCTGTAATTGCTTCTTTGTCTGTTTACATTGTGTACGAAGTATAGCACGTACCGTCATATGCGACAAGCTAGCGTGACCAATCTCTGCACGTTTCCTAAATTACACGTCATATGATCTTGTTATCCCGTCTAGTATCTGATTTGTTCGCTCAATAAGAATAATACTCACCTTGTTAACTGTGTGGTTTGAGCAATGGTTAATTTTCATCATTGTATGTTATTTTCGGACCAAAACATAATCGGGTTTCATTATCATTAAAGCGTCTGATAACGCGTAATAAGCGCTGCGTGGGAAGTGTTTAGATAGCTTAAGCGCTGAAGTTACTGGACACATTTTGGTCAAAATCAGGTATGGATGAGTTGCCACTTCACAGGACAAACAGATTGAGAGATGGATTTATCTTCTATCGCAACAAGCAATGGTAAGTTGTTCGTTCAACAAAACTTTGCGTTAAAAATATGAATTCATTCAGCGGGCCGTCTAATTTGCATAAATTTTATTTACTCATATACTCAAATTGCTTACTTTAGTGTGAGGACTATATTGGATTTCCAGAGCTAAAACTTTCCAGTAATTTAGTTCAATAGCCAAGGTTTTATTCTATATGGGTTTTACTAGGAAGCGGCATATACCAGTGGCCTTTTACAACAGTTAAAGTTCGCCTTCATTTATTAACATTTCCAGGGATACAAATTTGACCTTTTTAAACTTGTCGATTGTAAATGTTAAAAACTTCTTTCTTCAAATTTCTTTCAGGAAATTAAAGAGTAAGTACGAAATAATACTCGGCCGAAGTTTCGATGTTAGGGATTGTTTCTTATGCGTTCACCGTTTTCTCGAAGTTGCGGTCGGATTTTGTTCTTTTGAGTACGAAAAACCAGCAAAAAATCGATTTTTCAAACTTTTTGTAATTTCTCCCGTACAATGAATCGCTTGAACCCAAAATTATTTTTTCTTCAATAAGGTTACTAAAAGGGATGTTTTGGTGAGAGGAAAAAAAATTCGTTTTTTTCACGAGTGTCATGCGATTTCCGATTTTTTCGGAAAATGGCTCTTAAAACTTATCTTAGCGCAACAGCTGCTTTATGCAACCAAACCGCGCGATGATGAATGATCAAAGACAAAATGATCGTGATCGGGAGCTCTTTTCAGAGCTCATAGAACCCCCGATCCACCCTCATTTTATACAAGTAGTTCCTCCTTTTCTTGAGGAAAGCAATCCAGTTTACATGATTCAAATAAGCGGTGAAGCAGCCTGGAAATGCAGAGAGTTTTACTGGATGCCTCGTAGAGTATTTGATTCACTTCAGGCGAGCATCCTGCCTCTCGGCTACAAGCTCAATGAATCCTCCTGTGACCGCGTTGGTCGCACAGTCGGCGAAAACATAAGGAGATTTAAACGCAAGATGGACTCAATTACAAGCGGTAAACAGAGGCAAAAAGTACGAGCCGAGACGTGGGTTAAAATTACAATAAAACCCGAGGAGAGTGATGTGTTGGCAAAGGTGACGAAAAAGAACAACGACCTTTCGACCACAGTTGAAGAAAAGACCGCCGAGTTATACAATTCAGAGGGTCAGAGACTTGCCCAGAATGGTAAACACTTTACAGAAGTCGGAAAGAAACAGCAGAACAGGCAGTTAACTGAGATACGGTAAGTCGGCTTTTAATTCCCTCTTGTTGCCAACGTAAACAATTTGGTTGCTTAGGAAATTATATATGGACCTATTGGTGAAATTCAACGTATTGTTTTGTTATTTCTTTGCAGAAGAAAAGCCAAACATGCACTCTGGTTCGGAGAAACGTACGGATTAATGCCCGAGTCCTTGAGGCTCCGGGATAAAACCGGACAGAGCCATGACATCAATTTGAGAGAAATTCCAGCAGGTAACCAAACTTCAAAAAACCAGTATACTGCAATAGAGTAATTCACGAGAGCAAAAGATGACTCTCCTCTTATCACTTTCTTGGCAGATGGTCCTGACAAAGAAAACATGTCGATTAGTGGAGCAGTTCCTGAAATTCAAAACAAAGACCATTTGAGGCAAGGAGACAGTTCCAGAGGTAGGGAGACCTTTCCAATAATAATTATTTTCAAACAGGGTGCCATCACAAAAGTGGTTTCAGAACAGCCCTGCTTTCTGAGTTTAAGAATAATGATAATAATAGTAATGATACTAATAACGGTGTTAGAATTCCCAATATCCACTTAAAAACAAAAAAAAAATAGTGAAGAAGTCGGTTGGTCACCTTTCATTTTACTCAAGTTGTGATTTTTGCAGAACATCACATGACTTTAAAGTCATTGGACAAAGATAAACAAAACTGACAGACTTTATCTTAACTTTTGCAATGAGAACTTTCCACATGCATAGTTTCTATAAACAACATTAATCAACGGGGTAAGGTTTTTGAAGAAACTTTCGTGGGGTATTAAAAAACTATTTGGCTTTACCAACTGAGTTGACAATGTAGATTGGCCATCGTAATGAGTTTCAGCCGTCGTTTACTTCCGTTTGAAAAATGTCACCAACCAAGTTCACTGTGCATTTGTCATGGAAAAAGCAAGTCCCATACATGAAATTTCAATTCTAATATTGGAACTGACAGTCAGTGTTATCTGCGTAAGGCTCTCCAGAATTATTCGAGAAGAATTGGAAATTAGAGTAGACCAAGTTTACTACTGGACTGACTCAGCTTCCGTGTTGAAGTACATCAACTTTGTTAACTCGCAGATAAGCGAACTGTAGAAACTAGACTTAACTCACTGAGTCACTGTCGTAAATAATAGCGGAGCTCGTAGAGCGTAGCCCCATAATTATGCAAAATAGTAGTAGCCCATCAAGCCGAAAAAATTTGGATGTACGACCGTACGACCGTACGACCGTACGATCGTACAAGGTCCTACTTTTAACATGGGTGGTCAACTGTACCGCGGGCACGCCAACGCCACAGCTTTGTCCAGTAGTTCAACGGTCAGTGCATTGGGTTGCGAGTCGGACGACCCGGGTTCTAGTCCTGGGACGTGCGGGAAAAAAAATACGAGCTCCACTTTTAGGCTTGGCTAAATCTATATATTATACTTTGACCTAGTTTTTTTGCTTCGTTCATCTCGTCACGTGATGTAAAAGAAACATTTTGCCTTTAGGTTGAATCATATTCCTACCGATTTCTGTCTTTCATCTTTTTGTGAGTGAACGTGAAAAGCCAAAAATTTATTATGTACATCCTCTATGTTGGAGCAGTCTGAAGATTAGTGAAGAGTCTTACAAACTTCAAAGCGAACTTAAAGATTATCCGCAAATGAGCTTAAAGGAATGACAATGGAATTAATTGTAGTTTTAAAACAGTTACAATTGGAATATAATAAATCAATGTTAAGAAAGCTCATACAGGTTATAAACAAATAGTTACCAAATGACAATGACATAAAAAAAATAAATCACTAAGAGTTTTTGTTGTAATATTCAGTTTTTTCTATCTTTGTTCACATTTTACTTAAGTGATAGACAGTTGTGCCTGACTTAAACTACACTCATATTTGAAAATCATTTGATATCACGCTTAGAGGTCGTTTCAAAAAATTTCATTGATACTAAGAATTTGTAACTGGATTTGTGATCGAACTAGAACTTCTGGTCTTTCTAATCGCATGAGGAAACTCACAAAATTTCTCTTCCCAGTGTCTCAACTTTCCTAAGGCAGATAATTAGGAAACCGGAAACAGACAAGAAATGGGAAAAGAGAGCCCTTTCTTAATTGATGATGAAGCTCATTGATTCAATCAGCGAAGAAGATTGAAGAATAAGAGGCTTGGTTATATCATGTATTGTGAGGTAAGGAAGCTGCCTTTTCTCAAACGAAACAAACTCCTGCCATGTGTCATAGCCTGACTCGCTGATTTATTTTTGAGGCATTATTCGCTTTGATTAAAAACAAACAAAAAAGACAAGAAAAAATGCAAATTTAGCTAATGAAAAATCCATGGAAATCAAAAGAAATCAGAAAGAAATAGTCTACAATATAAGTTCTAGTTTCCCCATTCTTAGTTTATTGATTTTGTTATACCGGCTGTCAAAACGTATTTGCGATGCAGACTCTTAGGATCACTGTATTTTATTTCTTATTCATGAATAATACAAGAATGATTAATGAGAAAATTGCTCTAGTTTTCTTGAGAACTATTCGACAGTTTAAATAATGTACCGTCCAAAATGTTTGTATTGGAAATTCCCTCGCTCGATTTTATTGAAACACCGTTCTTTTGGTTCATTACCGAGATGATCACAGATGTAAGTTATTGACATTCGGCAATATAGCAACATTTGCAAAGATTGTTCATTTTAAAAGCAGTGAGCGCATTTATCAGACGAATGTCCCTGAAAACGAATATTTTCTTATTAGATGAGGAACATTAATAAGATGCGAGACCACAAAGGTTTGATATGATCGCCTTATAACAAATTCATTTAACTTCGGTGGCGAATTTTACACATAGTTACAGTACTTTAAAGTGACAGGACAAATACTAACCGGGAAAACAGGACTTTTTTATTTCAGGCTTTGCCATTAATTAAAACGTTACTCATGCAAAATTACTCTAAATAACAATATTCTGGTGCTATTTACTTGATACATGACAGAATTCTGTATATCTTTTTACTTGCACTTACCAAGTTGTCGACTTCGTGGTTGATGCTTTTTAAAAGTGAAACGATAGAAAAGACTTAAATGAAAGACAGTTATGACTTTTCCTTATATTCCAAAACCTCCGTCTCTTGACTTACCCTAACCGCGACTATTTTGTGATTCAGGTGAGAACACAAACTTTCATAACATCCTGAGGACCTATTTAGTTAGATTTTAAAACCATTCTTTAACCGGATTCTGTTTTTTTTTTTTGACATCTCAAAACATTTGTAAACCTTTAGCTGAAATTCTAATAATAATCTATTTCACAAAAGTTTCCCTGATGGCCGGCATTAAACTATGATTTGATATCATGTTGTTAACTTGTGGCTACGCGATACGGAGAAATGGGTTTACTGTGGAAAGTCTGATATGCAGATATTCACTCTCTCACTGATTCACTCTGGTGTGAGACTGTTGGGAATAAATAACTTTGATCTTTTTTTTCTTGAAAAAGAAACAGAACTTACGGTTTTACTAATCACGTGAGGAAACTCGAAAACTTTTTGTTCTGGCCGTCGAAACGTATATGTAATGAAACTCCTCAGAATTAGGCATCCTTATTTCTTGTTCATGAATAATACAAGACATTTTTTAATGTCTTGCTTAAAAGCTTGAATTATTTTCTCTATTTTTTGCTTAAAAGCGTGAATTATTTTCTCTACAAAACTGTCGAGGGGGAAGAGACCGCGACGCAAAACATGAAAGAGTAAACAAAGACAAAGGTTCAACATGAATAACCTAACATTTCATTTTGGGAACTTTGAGGATCGATTATTCCTTTTCAAATCACGGGCGAAAAGCTTGTATTAATACAGAGCAAATTTTCAAGTGAGAATCTAAGATAAATATTTAGGTATTGTAGCTTTTCGCAAGTTTGACGTCGGAATCCGATATAGATATTATTTTTTCCTACGCGTAGATTGCTTTTGAAATTCATGGCAAGGGGGTATATTTTGCCACGTGAAATTGACTTTTATTAACACGCACGTTGTTTGTGAAGTCTTTTTGAGAATTATGGGCGCACTGTAGTAGTGGGAGGGTCTCAATGGAGTGATGGCTTTTACGGCTAACGGTTAAAAAATTTGGCCATTTTACTAGTAACGGTTAACATCATTCCATGAGTTGTTACCAGAAATCTTTAACAACTCAATTCATAATTTGTTACCAGAAATTTTTTTTTGAGGTTTAATTTTTTTTACGAATAAAGGTTAAAATTTGACGATTTGTACGCTTAACGGTTAGATTTTTTTTGTGGCCGTTTCATGGTTATCGGTTAACCCAATTGAGACCCTCTTGAAGTATATGACGTCTTAGATCAGTCGTAAGTAATTGACAATAAAAAGGTTCCTACCGTAATTTTTTTGCAATCGTATGCAGCTGACACTATAGATATTTCACAAGTTATTTTCTATTTATTAGAATCTGAGGCGTTGGGAACATTTTTCAAATGGGAGGGGTGGGGGGTTTTTGGTTGTGTCAAATTTGAATTTAAGGGCATACTGGCCAGAATGTTTTACTATCGTGAATTGTGGGATGGGGGGCAAAATCTCCCGATGAACCCCTTGCATGCCCCCTCTAAGTATCAAGAGGGTCGTAAAAGAGTGTTGGCATGGCTTTTACGGCTAACGGTTAATATCTTTCCATTGTTGCCACTAGAAATGTTTTTTATCGTTAACTCTTTTACGAGCTAAGGTTAAAATTTGTCAAGTTTTACGCCTAACGGCTCACAAAAATCTTATTAAGACCCTCTATCAAACACTGTTGCTGCCAATTTGTGATTAGGAAAAATGAAAACTGCGATCAAAAGTATTTAACAAAGTCACTGAGAATAGGAACTGATCAATTATCAAATACGATCAAGTAAAGGATCAAAATGGTATGTTTTTTTCCCTAAAGCGATTAACTATGTACGAGACGTGAACTAATGATTCTCATTTCACAAAAGGTTAATACCAATAAGAAATATATCTCCAATCTTGCAGAAGATCATGTAGTGAGAGTTAAACTGCCCAGTTTTCATGCGACTTTCGAAAATTCAAAACGGAAATCGAATACTAAGCTAGGGAGAATTAATGAGAGGGAGATGTGGAGAGCGAGTTAGCATTTGCTCAGAGGATTTGAGCGTTTCAACTCAAGTGAATGAATTTCGGTTTTGTACGTCACACTTTAATGACCAATGATGGAATTGAAC